TATAATCCTAGCTTTGCGCAATTCTATCACGATTTGTTGTGGCTCTACAACCTCATCTTTTTGACTATATTGAGTTGTTGGGGGTGTTCATCGAATGATGATGTTCATCGAACGCACGGGCATTGTAGGTCTTGGCGCTTCCCCGCAACTTTCACATGCGAAGACGTTCGTCATTGCTTGTACAAGACAACGAGTCGACGCCATGTTGCTTCGACTGGGCTCATGCAGCGTGGAGCTCAACATGTGGAACCCAGTCTACGCCCTCACGCCCCTGATACTACTGTTCATCTCCATCCCGCTCGCCATCTTCGCCGTTGTCACCACGTCAGTCGCCATATCGCTGCTCTCCTTGCGCGCATTGGCCGTGTATTGCCGCCTTGCAGTAGCCATCGTTGGAGCATGGCTCTCCCCCTCGCCGCCGAAGCCCATGCCGCTTCGCCGTTCCTCTCTCATGCCTTCGTCCGCCCGACAGTCTCCGACCCGACAGCGCCATCGCCGGGCCAGCACGGCCAGCACGACATCTTCACAAGACACCGGCGTACATTCGGCACACACGTCGCGTCTTCTGAAGCACAAGAATAAATCTCTCACGGCGCTCATTGGTACAAGCGAGTTGACGCGCGACTTCGAAGGTGTGGGCGGGTGGAGGATGTCTGGCGATGATGACGAAGAGGCACTGTGGATGGGCATCAACTCGAGGCTTCAATTGCCTGCTGAGACGCCTACTAGGAGACATGCTAGAAGCCTGACAGGCGGCGTGAGCCCAGGCCAGAGGTGGAGTGCCGGCTCAGAAGCGTTCCGGATGAGTCCGGTGCAGAGCAGGGCGAGGACACCAGTGCGCTTTGCCATCGAAGACGAGTCTGGCTATTTTCCTATGCAGCCAGTCTCCGCCAACCGCCGTTCAAGCGTCGGTTCCGATTCTATAAAACACCACAAAAGAAGGAAGAGTGGCAGTGGTGGTAGCATGTCAAGCACTACCTCGGTCCCCCGAGAACCCACAACTTACGCCCTCCATGGCTGAACACGAAGACCAGGCTGACACTGTCGCGCACTATTCTGATCGGCCATGACTGGCTGTCATTACCGCTGGTGCTATAGCCGCCCTTGCCGTGATCGCCAAAACCAACGGGCCCATGGTCCAAAAAAACACACACGAGAGCGCTCGCAATCTTGTTGAAACGCTTCCACGATATAAGGAGCCACCATCATACAAGTCGAACAACAGCTTCTAGTACGCAATCTAGAATTTGCAGCTGACCTGGTAATTAGCTCATGTTTGACTTTAACGACAGTATGATGTTGTGCCAGGCACTGAACGGGGTTCGACATGATGATAGAATGTTCAATGACAGGATGAGCTTTATCACTCCTACACTTTAGCCTATCATTGCAGAAATATCATGTAGGAGAGATTGGTCGGATTGGATGGAAAATCCATTAGGCAAAGTAGAGAGGCTTTCCATCTTGCAGTGTGGATTGTGTATATCTGCGGCACTTTCAACTGAAATTTACTCATCATATCGTTTCACAGGCATGGTACCGCTCACGCCCCACATACCAATGCTGCGAATTGTAGAGTGCAATGCTGACAGAGTTCCGAAACGGTAGGTTGAAGTCGTACAACATTCAGTTGACCCCAGGGCTTGCAACTCCCGGACCCCACTACAATCAGCGTTAGATTAACTGCGCACTCAACAGTATTTGATTGTGGGTTGAGCTCAAGGGGTGTAGAATATCGGCGAGGGTGACATGTATACATACGACTTGGCTATTCTGCCGTGTCTCCTTTAGCTTCTCCGTGTTTTCTTCTTACGCCATCATCATGGTACGCCCCGCGATCACAAGAGTCTGCACAACCCTCTCTTTCTTTCTACTCTTGGTTAGTCATGCCTCGAGCCAATCTCCATTGGACAGACCACCTATGCTACGCTTCCAATGTTCGCAACTCGTCGTCGAGAGGTTAGATCCCCTCGTGAATCCCAACGTCGCCCCATCTCCACATCTCCATCAAATCGTTGGCGGAAACTCCTTTACTGCATCCATGCCACCGGTAACACACGACCTCGCCAACTCTTCCACTTGTACCAGTTGCACCTTCTCCGAAGACTTCTCAAACTACTGGACCGCAGTCCTATACTTTCGTGCACGCAATGGCACCTACAAACGTGTTCCGCAATTCACTAGTGAAGGATTGAAGGGTAACGGAGGCATTACCGTATACTATATACCAGACATGGATAACCAAACGGCTGTCACTGCCTTCCGTCCCGGATTTCGTATGCTGATCGGTGACGCAACAGCGACCACCCAAGTATCCTCTGCACGCAAAGTGTGCTACCGATGTTTACCAGAAGTTGGCGAAGAAAATCGCCTTAACTGTGTAGATCCGGATGCTCAGACATTCCCCAAAGGTTTCTGTCCTGGTGGAATACGCTCTGTCATTACCTTTCCAACTTGCTGGGATGGTGTCAACTTGGACAGTCCAGATCACCAAAGCCATGTAGCTTATGCAAACGGCTCGCTGGATACCGCCGTTGGGCCCACGGGAAATTGTCCAGAAAGTCATCCCGTCGCTATACCGCAGGTTATGTATGAGGTTATGTGGGATACAAGGATCTTTAATGACGAAGCGCTGTGGCCTGAGGATGGAACACAGCCTTTTGTGCTTAGTACTGGAGATGCGTAAGTCACCTTTTGCCTTTCTCTTCCTGCCTCTTATACATCTCTAGCATACAAAGTATAACGCACCAGATCTGACTTTGTCATCAACAGAGATGGGTTTACCCAGCACGGCGATTACGTCTTTGGTTGGAAAGACGACTCGCTCCAGCGAGCGATGGATGCGCGCTGTACCGGAGATGTTTGTTCGGTGTTAGACTATCAGTCTACCGAGGAAGCGATGAAATGCACTGTACCACGGACCATTGACGAGGATATTGATGGATGTAAGTTCATGCACGGCACCCTTGTGCAGTCTTCAATTAGCTGACAGCTTGACCCAGGGTTGACCGAACTTCCGGGAGGACTTATGAAGATCTGATGAGGGCTGTAATGAAATATTTTAACATGTTGCAGATGAATCTATCGAGAAATTACTAGTGACATGAAAGTGTAGCCCCTACACTCGAATCCTCCGGTGTATATCCTGTGAGTGATTCCAACATGTGCAATTCAGCCTTGCTGATGGCATCACCGAACCAGATCATAAGTTTGAAACGATGATCATTATCGCGAGCCTCCGCTATGAGTACAAGCTTGTTGAACCCCGGTAGAAACGTGAACAAAACAAAGCTTTCGCCATCATAAAAGTTAAGGTGATCACATGCGTACGCTGCTCGGATAGTTTGGCCGATCGCTAACAGCTTTTCACCACGTTTCTCCAAACGCTTCCAGGCCGACAATGTGATGATTCTCGAGTTGGTGTCTTGATATATCAGGTCTTCTGTCGGGCTGAGTCGGTTGTTTTCAGACGTTTCCGGTTCGGCGGCTGAGGAGGTATGTATTCCGTGTAGATCAGTCTTCGTATTTGGCTTTCATATAAGGTAGCTGCCAGGGATTGCGCCATGCCTGTGATGGAGCATGAAGAAGCTTCATACGGGGCTGAAGACATGAGGTCGAGGTAGATGGTACTGGCGATAAGAGATCAAAGACGGTGAACAAAGGTGCGAGACCGTAAGATTTGATTCCGCAGTGCCAAATGCTCCTGAACGTGTTACCATCAGAGTAACCAGAGCGAGTTAAGATTTTCAGTCGAGTCACGCAAATGCAATTTGACGTCAAAGTTGAATTATAGTTGGTGCAGTGTATTGAGTGTTGATGTTGGTAAACATAAAGTTGAAGCAAGTGGAACCTGTATAGTCTGTACATTATATAACGACTAAAGAGATGGAGTCCGCCTACTGGAGTGGAAGGATGCATGGAGAGAGGTTGCAGTCCCATCTGCAGATGGCTCCAGGCATTTGCACTCACTAGCACTACATGCTGGTTTTCCAGCTCTGAGATGAGCGCGCTTGCCACGATATTTTCCTGATAATGTTGCCCACTTAGCAGCCCCAAGCCTTCGTAATGGCGTGTCTTCCGGTTTCGATCAGGTCGAAATCTATATTAAGCCACCATTTCCGCGGCTCCTCTGGCCTTGATATAGGTATGTCTCCTCCTATTTTCTTTTTTCCTAGTTTTGGGAAGCAGAGCCATAGTACCAAAAGCACTACGAGAACAGTGAGAATTGTGGGCTGCAAGACACCAAGACCCTTTGCTTGAGCCAGTGATCCAATAGCAAAGGGTAATGCAGCGCCGCCACCGACACCGATTGCGGCAGCAAACCCGATCACGGAGACGTGGAGATATGGCGGGAGAGCTTTTGTTGTTGCAACGATGACCGCTGGGAACAATGGGCCAAGGAAAAACCCTTGTAGTGCAACAAAGATAGCTGAGACGTGAAACGACGGGACGAGCCAGAACATGAGTTGACAGAGGATGGCGATGATGATATAAACCTGATATAGAATTAGCTTGTGCATCCACTTTTCCAATTCCTACCATACCAGGACAGCAAACTTCTCACCAAGCTTTGGAGTGACGAAGCTCAAAATAAGACGTCCGGCAGCGATGCCAGTCCAAAATCCAGTAGCGACAATACCAGACTCAAACTCGCCACCAGCTCGTTCTCGGCGCATGAAAGTCACGATCCAACCTCCAAGCGCTCCCCCAGCTCCAACATAACTAAAGAGAAAGATAGAGGCCACCCAGGTGACGCGGCTCTTGAGCGCTTGCTTAAGACGGCCTTCGCCCGCTGCATTCGTAGCAGGGTTCTGTTCGCGATACACTTGACCTGATCTTGACCAAAAGGCCCAAAGAGATGTTGCAAGCTCAATGGTTGCTCCGCCAAGCTACTGAGAGTGAGTAACGGTTCACGCGCGGCCTGAATGACTAACCAATATGTAGTAAAACTGGTACCACTGCCATCCGCGCTTTGCAATCAAGCTTGTAGCAGCGAGCGGACTAAGCAAAGCCCCAAGAACATAGAAGCCATGCAAGAATCCTAGGACCTCATTCGCATTGGCCAGACTACTCGCCCAGGCATTCCAGGCTGCGTCCTCGATGCCGTTGCCAAAACCAGAGAATATAAACAGAACCACCAGGACAGGGTAGGGCGGATGTAGGGATATGCCTATATAGGCCACAAGGTGGCAGATGGGCCCAACGAAAGCAATTCCGCGCTGGCCAAGACGGACGTGCAGCCAGTTGTTGCAAAGGGCGGCACTGACATAGCCACCCATTGGAGAGAGAAACACCAGGGACACCACGACATAAGTGAGATTGTAGTAATCTTCAAGATAAGGAATGATGGCCTGCGTAAGGTCAGCATCCTACGTGAATAGGAAGGACAGGGTTGCTCACACCATAAGCGGCATCATTCGCGCCCATGATAGTAAAGGCGAACAGAATAGCAAATGTGCGGTATATATTGGCCTTTGGATGGTTCCATCGTTCAACTACTGACACCGCAGTTGATGGCTGAGGAAGGGACTCGATCGGATCGATGATTTTACTTTCTTCGTTACCCAATACACGTCCTTGGTCTCGCAATGCTACAGGCACTGTAGATTGCAACTCGATGTTCGTGTGTGAAGTACTACCTGAAAGTGTATTGGTGCTTGCTGTGGTCTGTGTTATAGTGTTAGTCGGCGACATGGTTAAAGAGACTGTACAACAAAGCCGACAAGACCGTAGGAGGATACTCGCGAATCAAGCAGAGATAGGGGATATTCTTGGACAATTGTGTCTTGCGCATGGATTATATCGCTCTGACCCAAGATTTGCATGTCTGCTGTAGCTGGCGACGCTTGGCGCATACGTGCCGAAAGCGGAGATGCTTGCGAGGGCTGGCCTAAGAAATCGATCACGTGTAGTTACCATCTTAGTATTGAGAGCCCCGCCAGTCTTCTAGGGAAAGATATACGGGAAAATATACAATCTATTGCATCGTTGGATTCAAATTTTTCATCCCAATGACGCGCATCAAGACAATTTCCTTCTGTAAAGCATTTCGGATCATCTCCCTCTATCCTGGAAAAGGATAGACAGCAGGGCTCTTATACCCGTTCGTTCCGACGGCCCTTACGCCAAAGATAACATTGTCCTTGCTAAGCGGAAGAACGACTGAGCCGACCTTGCCAACATCGAGCATGCGAGTCCACAAACTTGCTGTAGTGGATCGCCATACAATCTCATAGCCTGCAACATCTGTGCTGTTGGAAACTATCCACTTGATGCGCGAATCGTTGTCCAAGACTGTGGTATCGATTGTAACGTTGCGTGGCATCGCAGGAGCCTGAGACAGGGACCAAAGCGTCGCAAGATTGACTTTACCGACACGTGCTGTGAAGTCAAAATCGACAAATTCAATCAAATCGCCGTAAACAGTGCCATTTTCGGTACGCAAATCTTGATGCTGATGAGCAAAGTTCTCGTTAGGCTCTGTGTACCGGATGGCTGGATAACCCGCCTGGAGAAATCCAGTATGGTCGCCTCCGCGCAGGAAGCGATCTAAACGGTAGATGATGGCTACGTTCATGCCGGTGGCATTGTTGGCAGCAACTTCGGCAGAGAAGCGCGCAAGCTCTCGTGCCGGACTATCGTTCTCGCCACCAATTTGGAGGCGTCGTGCTGCAGTGACGTTGTTCTCGGCAGATAGAGGAGGAACACCTTGTGCGAAAGCACGAATAGTATATGGATCTTTCTGACCTCGATCCCCAGTTGAAGAACCAACAATATCGCAGTTAAGCATACCTTCGACATTGGTGCTGGAGTTCTTGAGGGTTTGTGCGAGATAGGTCGAGCCATATAAGCCTTGTTCTTCGCCAGATACAGCACCAAGAATAATCGTTGATTTCGGCTGATGCTTTGCGAGGACACGCGCGATCTCCATCGCAACTTTTAGCAAAATCAGCCATTGTTCTCTGAATGTGCGTCCAATATTAACTTACTGGCAACTCCGCTTGCATCGTCGTTGGCTCCAGGAGAATCGGCTTCATAGTTGAGGACATCCGTAACGCGACTGTCGTAATGTCCAGTCATAACATATACTCTGTCCGGGTTCTCACTTCCTTTGGCAGTTGCTAGCACATTCGAGATGTACACGGGAAAGGGGATTCTGCTGGCCACTCCTTGTAGATAGCTTTGTACTTCGACAGTCATCGTGCCATTGCTCTCCGCGGCATACTTACGCATCTCAGAAGCTATCCAGTCTCTTGCTGCATCAATCCCGCGCGTCGAACTGTTGAATGTAGCCAGTGTATGGCGGGTTCCGAACGAGACTAACTTGGTGATTGTGGCTTCGATGTTGGCTGGGCTGATCTCGTTCACAATGGCTCGCATCTCATCGTCCGGTACTTGCGGAATCAGCTCCACGCCAACGTTTGATGGAGGCCATGCGGCATTAGCACAGTCGGTGTATGACTCTGCATTGGCTGCCACTGGCAATGGAAGGTCGCGGCCAAAAAGAATCTCATGCGCGCAGGCTGTCGAGAGCAGCGCGCTGCCGAATAGAGCCGATTTGAGGTACATTGTCGATGCGACGAATAGCTAGTTACCCTTCCAGATCTTGCGTTGTGGATTGCCGTCTTATAGTGATGACTAGATGGCTTGTCGCCCATGGCGTGAGACGGCACGCTATAACATGGATCCGCATATCGGAAGCAGCACACAACGAACTTCCCATGCTAGTTAGCATACCGGGTGTACGATAGACGCTGCTCATCATGTTTTGCGATCTCTTTTCGAGATGCACCTGTTCCGCGGCTCGGCAAGCGTTGATACCCAGGCTTGCTACATGCCGACAGGGTAGATGCTTACCAGAATAGGCAGGTGGAATGGAGAAGACGACGTCAACCACGGGACATTGAAAGCTTGAACACGCCAAAGAGAAGCCGATAAGGTGCGGAGCGCTGTGCAATGACTAAAGGGACGTAAGAGATATTGCCACTAGGCAGAGCAGACGGTTGTGGCTTGTGCAGATACATACGTACAGCAGCAGACATGGCTGGGTAGCATAGGCATCGCAAACACGCATAGCGATAGAAGCTTGAGAACATTCTAGTCTTCTGTCTTTACAAGACGTCGTATTGTACCAGCAGTCGCGGCATCGTCGAGGAATTCAGGCTAGCAGGGAGCGGCTATCTGGGTGCTTAACACTTGGAGACGATATGATGTACTTGTCGAAAGTTACAAGGCCCGGGAACTTCACGTGGTGTCTTGAGATGAAGCTGAGATTTATATGCTGCAACGGAGTACCCAGATGTCAACCTCTAGGAAGTGAGAGGGCCTCTAGGTATGCCGCTAGCGCAGACAGGCTAGAGGCTTGGCAATTCACCGAGGTTCCAGCAGTCGAACTTCGCGATGATGCAATGTGTCAAATCACGAAAGTCTGCCTACAAGGCTGCAACATAACACCAGCTGCTACAAACATCGCGCTAAGACCCAAGCCTAATCGCAGTGCCTTTGACTCGTTGAAACATTGCCGCAACTTTTCAAATCCACAATGGTTTGCTTCCCCGTTCACGTTGGTGCAACACAAGTTCACATCGCACACAGAACGCGCTCTTCAATTCCGCCTTACGGCAGTCGACGTCGATACGAAAAGATCTGGACCAGTTTGCCGACTCGGCCTCGCCATCACCACATCTCCAAGCCCAACTGAACGCGTCGTTGACTTCCTTTGCACGCACCATCGACGATTATGGCAAGCTTGCAAAGCAAGAACCTGTACAGACCAAGGCAGAAAAGGCCCAGGAGCGATTGAAGAACTTCCGAGCTGAACTGGAAGAATACAGGGCCAACTTCAAACGGATTAAGAGTGTAAATGAGGAGATCGTACGTTTCGAACCAGCGTCCTTGGATCCCTAGCTGCGGTGCTGACTAGCAACAGCAAAGTACAGAAGCGCGCACAGAACTGCTAGGCCGCCGTCCGCACAACACTGCTACGCCCGAAAACCCCTACGCACAACCTAATCTCTCCGCCCAACATTCGGCCTTTGCACCCTCCCAACCCTACAACCCCAATGCTCCCTACCGACCGAACCCATACTCTGCTGGCGCACCTCAAGGCGGTGACTATGATCGCGAGGGTCATGTGCTGAGGGAAAACACCTTCTTCAACAAGACGTCTGAGCAGTTAGATGAGTTCCTAGACAGAGGGAGGGCTGTGCTCGGCGACCTGGGCCAGCAGAGGGATATGCTCAAGGGCACACAGAGGCGGCTTTACACCGTTGCAAACACCTTGGGTATTAGTGGTGATACCATACGTATGGTGGAGAGGAGAGCGAAGCAGGATAAATGGATCTTCTGGGGTGGGGTGGTGGTCTTTTTCCTGTTCTGCTGGCTGGTCATCCACTACTTGAGATGATGGCATAGCTATAGTGAGGTGTACAAGCGCTCGACATGGTCTTGGACGCTCAGAGAAAATTCGAATTAGCGACGCGCATGGAGCATAATGAACATTGCAAGTATCTGTGATACTTTATGCAACAACCGGATACAGTAACGCAGTGGTAAGTTTCTACAGACGCTCACATCACGTTGAGCCTGGCTAACCGCTCCAGCCACCAACAAAGATACCCTGGCATAACTCAACCAGGGAATCAGACACAGCAGTATACATACGATTGGCGCACAATGACGACGACATGAAGTCCCAATTCTTTCGAAGCTCCAAATTCAGATCAAGTAATCGAGCTTTCGGTCTATGTGGTCAATCTTCATGTTCATCTCCTCTTGCTGATACTGCATTTTCTCGACCTCATCGAAGCGTCCGTTTGGCTGAACCCATTAGTATGCGAGTTGAAGTTGGCGATGATGACGATAATGCTGCCGGGGACGACCAACACACAAAAGCCGATCCCGCAAGTATACAGCTGGATCTTCGAATATCAGCGGTGCCCTTCTTCGTGGATGGTTGAGCAGCGAGTGGTGTTGCGCTTGCAACATGTATCTCATTATAGTCTTTGCGTGTCGGTCGTAGTACGCAGGCAGCAGCCTGGGCTCGTATGCTCGATCGACGAATTCGAAGAAGCAGCGCAACAGCCCCTTGAGGATCTGGTGGGGTATCAAGTCTCGCAATTCAACGATGCCCATGCACCACTCTCTGAATAGCTCGGGTTCTTCACCGTGAACGATCTCCCAAATAAAACAGCGGAGGAAACTTGCCATAGATTCCGCTAGAGCTTGCGATCGGCTAAGTCGCGCTAAGAGGCAAAAAACCATAAAGTGCTCTCTGCTACGCCGAAGACCTGTGGTATTTGCGACACTTAAGTCCTTCCTAAGACGAAGTTCAATGCTTCTCTGCAGAGTCTTTCCAATAGGAGGGGCGAAAAGAGGGTTCAATTCTAGCTGTGTCATAAAGTCGTCCAAAACTGTTATGATCGTTTCAGCTGTAATGGTACGGTATACCTGGCCATCGAAAATACCGGTCATCTGTCTAACCAGGCCACGGGCGTCAAACCTATTGAAATGGACCAGATGGTGGATTTTTGGAAGCCATCGCTCCAACTCGCTCAGCCGGATTTTGAACAAGCGGCCGCTACCGAGGTGAATGACGCCGATATCCTCCATGAATTAGCCGTGTGGAGTTTGAAGATTTGCAGTACGTATGAAGGGATTCTGAGAATGCTTGGAGGGACTTGTGGTCGCACAGGAACGCCCAAAGATCCTCTCAACGGTTCGCTGATGTCTTTATACATCAAAGGTCGGTGAACAGCAGGCTGACACGATCCTCTGCGATCGATCGTTGGTCAAGCGGCTGAATTCAAGTGTCGTACATGTTTGCTTCGACGATGCGCGTGGCCGCCTCATAGTATTCTAGCCAATGACTGTCGATACCATGGCTCAGCTTGGCTCAGTATCACTGTGATATGATAGCGCAAATCAGCTTGCTGCCTCCCTTTCACAGGCAGAAAAGAACGGGTTGTATACGCAATAAGTAGGCTAAATCTTTCAGTCGGCCGCGATAGTATACCATTCAATTCGCGTTTGAAAATCCTGAACTTGTAAACCATGGTAGGGAAGGTAGAGGGTGCTCAGTATGCTATATAACGCTTCTACCTAGCAAAACACAAACTATCGAAATTGCAAAGAATACCTAGATGACCATGACGTAGGCCGTCGATGCAACACCTCGCTAAAACGCTCATCTGTCTCCTGAATCATAGAAAGTCTGAAGCCTACCCACTGAAAGACCTTCCAACAATCAATCCGAGCCTCGCATCCCGTGTTGAACCATTTCAACCCTCCCCCTTTGCCAAGATCAGACCCTCAATACTAGCAACTGGGTGCTCGCTGTTTTGATCCGCAGCTAGTCACTACGACAGCCCACCCCAGAACGATAGATTGATCTACTCTATGCTCAGGATCCAAAAGCGCCGCTCTTGATCACTAGTGATAGCTAGCAAGTAGAAGGTCAAGCTTTCCATCGACGTTGTTCAACTTCATGTTCATTTCACTCTGTTGGTACTGAAGGTTGCCGAGCTCCTCGAGATAGTCGTCTCTCGGATAGCAAATAGGTGAAATGACTGGCGAGGTCCAGGCAGAGCTGGGATATGAGGGACTGGCGAGACGCATGTCTGCGTTGTGACGATGTCGAGTTGCTGGTAGTGACCGAGCTCTGTGCCCTAGCCATGGCAGTGCTAAGGCGCGAGGGGATCGACAACGATGCATCTCAGCGTATGGAATCATCGCGAGTGCTTCAAGACGCAAATTGGGAGGGCCTTCCATCAATTCCCGGATCTTTTCGAGAGCTTTGCGCCAGTCTCCGTGGTATTGCTGTGACTCCTGCATTAAATACCGCGTTCCTTGCGACCAAAATCGAATCAAGGCTTCAGCAAGGTAGATGGATTGACCCTCTGATGCTAGGTAGGCCAAAACAATGAACATGTGCCGCGATTTTCTAAAGCCCCTGGCCTTCCACACCTCTTGCATGTCTTTCTGCACTTGGTTCATCAGAAAACCAACTACACGTATCCGTGTCTGGCCTTCCAATGGAACGAGACGATACTCCAGTTGTTTGAAGAATGCGAGCAGCGTGTGTTCAATGTCCTCTCGCGTTATGCCATATCTTCCACCAATGCGAGTGTTGATGTCTTCCACGAGATCACCGTCAAATCCGGACATATACGACAGCTGAGGGAACCAAGCCCGAAAGGTGCTACCGTCCACATTGACCGTATCGAAGCCAACGTTGATCTTCATGTTTTCGATTGCAGAGCTTTGAGTGACGCTAGTGGAGAGGTAATGTGGCCGCAGGCTCGACAGTGGATGCTTTGATTGTTGTTCAGCAAGTTGATTTCGAAAGAAAGCAGTAACCAAACCAGAAATTAGATACTATATACTCATAAAACACCGGTGAGAGCGTCGTTACTTTACATGTGTGCTGACCCGCCGTGAAGGCATTGTTGGAACTCCGCACCACTTCCATGTGCCACAAGGGGATCAAGATGTTTGCTTCCGCGATGACGACGAGAGAACCTCAGAAAGCACGCTGACCCAATCTAACCTTGATTTGAAGCATTATCTATGACACGTCATCTAATGCGTTCGGAAATTGGTTCCAAACTGTGGAAAACCAATCAAGGAGTATGGCCCATACCATTCTCAACGTACACTCGGCGGTCTGCCTTGTGTTACACCCTGATGTAACCTCACTCATATTCGTAACGTACCAACGTCAGCGAGTCTGCGTTGTTGGGCTCATTCTCTTAAGATTCATGAAAACAAGGATTTCTAGATACGCCTTTTCCGTTAATCGATTAGTTGAGATCGGCTAGGAAGCATACAGGATTTCAACAAGAGACAGTGTACATTAGATGTCAAGTGGAGCACTGTGCATCCTCACACGCTCGCTGCGGATAATTTTGATCGCTATCTTTTGCATAATCTGGTTCCACCATTGCTACACTGGCGCACTTGGCTCAAGGTGGCCTTCAAGGCTCAGCGTACTGGCGGTCAGCATGGCTTGAGCTTTACGTGAGAGCGCGCCAATACCCGAGCAAACTATGATACGATGGTGGGCGGACACTTTCACGGCTAGGGGCTGTCCAACGTGATCCAGAGAGTGACTAGTCTACAGTAGGTGCACCCGCCCCGCCAATACAAGGCTATCGCCACTAACCGATCGAACAAGCAAAGCCAGATATCGTACTACTTAATGCCAGGGCTTTCGACACTGGGGTAGTGATGCGAAATAAATCATCTGATCCAGAAGATGTCGCGCCTGCAATAAGCTGATTTCTTGGACACTTCCCGTCTGATTATGCTTAGGAACGGATGCTACGACAACGACTTTACACCCACCATACTCTAATTTATACATTTAAGAGCTATGACATCCGACATGGAGCACCAAGCGTCGTAGAACCACAAAGAGAGCAGTGAAGATCTTGTCGGGTACCATCGTGAGCATAGTGCCAAACCACCTGCCGTTGACTGCACCCATTATCAAGGCTAAATAACTGTGGATGGGACGGCTTCTCATGTAATCAGGGACTGGGATTGCATCCACTTTGAAACAAGACATTTGCGATCGAGTTGATGGCCATACAGAAGTGAAGACTATATTAGTGCCAGCAACTACATTGACGTCGCAGCCAATTTGAACCAAGTTATAGGTACCACATGTATACCAGCACCATGGCTAAGGCTGACGTATCTACTATGTGTGATCATACGCGGTTGGAAAGCCACCTGCCACCACTGAGACGAGAAACCCCTAACCCATAGTGCAGTTTTCTCCTGGCACTGCCATCATGCGGAGGCTGAGGCGATCGCACGATTCCGGAAGTAACCATTAGAGCCGATGACGACAAGCAAGACTCTCATGTGTGGAGGCACTAGCATCCTGCACTGAGAGTCCAACGTACAGCGCATGAGAACAAAACTGCAATCGAAAGAGTCATGTACCAATTCATCTACATATCCAATCATGGGAATCATACAACAAACACCACGACGCCAAACCAAAAGCGCCCTGAATCATACACGGGAGCTACCAGTCTAAGCCTCCAGCGCCCCTCTCTCCACCAGCGAGTATTTGCGCTGCCTTTGCCTTCTCCCCTAACCCACCCTCAAGATGAGAAACCTGCACCCCCTTCCTCCCTTTCAGTTGCAGCCTCTGCAACTTCTTATCTAGAGCAACGAATGGATCTTCCGTCTCGCTCTTCTTGATCTTGAACTTACTTGTACCAAGTACACTGTCCAGCTCCTCTACACTAGGCAACTTGACATACAGCCACCCATCACCGCGCTCCTCAATAGGGAAAACAGCGATGTTGACGCTCTCATCGTTGGCGCATTTTCCTGCGTTGTCGCCCGATAGTTCGTAGTTGCGCTTATGGTACGGGCAGCTGACCCACAGTTTATTGTTGGCAAGATCGTCGCCGATAAGACCGTCGGAGAGGACGAAAGCACGCTTGTGCGGGCACATCTGCTGAGTACAATAGTACTTGCCACGGACCTTGAAGACAGCGAGTTGGGTGTCGCCGCGCTTTATGGCCTTACTATCACCCGTGTCGGCGTCTTTGAACTCTTCGGCCTTGACGAGGGGTTGCCAAGACAATTCTGTCCATTTTGTGCCACGGAAGTCTTCTGTGATCGAGTCTTTAGGCCAGTAGGATGGACGTTCTTGACCACGCTCTTGGGTGGGTTCAATCGTGTCAACGATGGTCTCGGAAGTGTTTGCGAATTGTGAGAACCAGGAGCGCTTCTTGGGATCCTTGAGAACTTCGGTCCATTCGCAGAAGAAGGTACCAACAAGGTCTTCCATTTGCTTCTCTAGGTCTGCGCAGATGCCTAGCTTGTCTTCGAGGATGACCTCCTGTAGGTACTTGATGCCGCCGGGTAGGTTCTCCATCCAGCGCGCTGTCCGTTGAAGCTTGTCGGCTGTGCGAATGTAGAAAGACAGGTAGCGGTCGAGAATGGGCACCACATCATCCGGTGGGACGTCCTTGGCGAGAAGTTCCGAGTGTCGAGGCTTCGCACCACCGTTGCCACCTACGAAGATGTTGAAACCCTTCTCAGTAGCAATGAGACCAAAGTCCTTGTTCTGTGCCTCGGCGCATTCACGTACGCAACCAGATACTCCACCCTTGATCTTGTGAGGCCCACGGATGGACTTGTAGCGCTCTTCTAGACGCACTGCCATACCAACACTGTCGCCGATACCGAATCGGCACCACGTGGTTCCGACACATGACTTGACTGTTCTTAATGACTTGGCGTATGCGTGACCCGACTCCATTCCACCATCAATGAGTTCTTGCCAAATATCAGGGAGGTCTTGTTTCCGCGCACCAAACATATCGATACGCTGACCGCCCGTAATCTTGGTGTAGAGATTGTACTTCTTCGCAACGGTACCGATAATGATGAGCTTTTCTGGAGTAATCTCACCGCCAGAAACTCGGGGAACGACGGAGAACGTGCCGTTCCGCTGGATGTTGGCCAGGAATCTGTCGTTCGTATCTTGCAGACCTCTGTTGTTGACCTCCAGTAGATGCTTGTTGTACAGCGAAGCGACAATGTTTCCAATAGTCGGCTTGCAGGCCTCGCAGCCCAGGGAATTCGGATCCTTTCCGGCTTCCTTCATGACAGCGGCAAAGTCTTTCAAGCCCTTCACATAGATGATGTTGAAGAGATCGGCGCGGGAGTACTCGAAGTGTGGGCAAAGATGGTTCTTGACCTCGTTACCCATAGAAGCCATGGTCTTGTTGAAGATTGTTTGCACAAGTGGCATGCAACCTCCACATCCGGTGCCGGCTTTGGTGCATGACTTGACGTCGCCGATGCTTTTGCATGTTCCGTCCTTGGTAGCATTGACTACATCGTCTTTGGTGACGTTGTGGCATGAGCAAATCTGTGTGTCGCCAGATAGATCTGAACCGTCATCATCGCCCTTCTGTGCACCCACGATAAGCTCGCTTGGCGCCATCTCCAGCTGCTTCTGGTTCTTCACCAGCGGCACGAGCTTGATGTAGTCTTTCGTATCACCGATCATCATGCCACCCAACAAGTATTTCCCGTCCATGGTAAACAGATATTTTTTGTACACCTGCTGGAACGGGTCCTTGTAGGTCAGCGCCTTGACAGGTGGTGGTGCCGGCCCATCCGTCAGGTTCTTGACGCGATCTCTCGGCGTGGCTCCGTTGGTCTCCTTTTTCTCGGCTCGTTGCCGTCCAGGCATATTCTTCGGCCCATCGCGGTCTGCGAAGAAGTCACCGAAACTTGCCACTTCAACACCAAGCAACTTGAGCTTAGTGCTAAGGTCGGGAGCTTTGAATTTCCGGGGCGCGTGCGCTTTCGCTTGAGTGAGATTGAAGGCCAGGACGTCTGCCATCTCAACACCGGGAGCGATGAGGCCGAACGTTTGGTTCTCCCAACTGGCACATTCGCCTACAGCGTAGATGTCAGTTTGCGAGGTTGCTAGGTCGGGTCCGACCACAATGCCACCTCCTCGATCAGCACATTTGATGCCTGCTTTACGGGCGAGCTCGTCTCGTGATTTGATACCAATCTGTCAGAGTCAGTTTCCGCTGCTGGTTCAGAATTCAGGAGTACTTACCGCAAAGCATATACAAGAGCACTCCATCTCGTCACCATCCTCAAAGACAACTCCCTTGACGAAGTTATCCTCTGTGGTCAAGATCTTGCCCACTCTCTTGCTTAACATAACGTCCAGGCCTAGAGCTCGGACCTGCTCAACAACCATACCACCAGCATCCCCATCCAGTTGTCTTGACAAGACCCATCGATTCCGCTCAATGAGCTTCACTTTTGCGAAGTCTTCAAGGTCCATCATTGCATGTGCAGCTTCCAAACCTAGTAGACCACCACCTACGACCGTGCCTGTAGTACCTTTCCTTGTGGAGGAGAATTCAATCAGTCTTTGAAGGTCCTCTATTGTGCGGTATACGAAAACACCGTTTGCGTCGTGGCCGGGTGTATGTCGAGGAAGAAGGGCGTCGGATCCTGTTGCTAGTACCAAGATATCGTAGGGTACTGTTTCGCCGGATGAAGTCTTGACGTTCTTTCCGGCGGAGTCGATCTCGGTAACGAGGGTGTTGAGGTGATAGTTCAATGAACCTTCTGGCATCGACGCATACTACACCGGGGTTAGCTATAAACGCCTTCTCTTGAATGTGCTAGAGCATACCCATTCCTTGGGGTTGAGATATAAGTTCTCAACTTGCCGATGTTGGAAAAAGCTTGTCAAACCGACCCGGTTGTACGCAAGATGTGGTTCCTCGCCAATAACTACAACATCATACTCTCTCCGCTTAACGTCATACTTCATGAGTTTCTCGCTTGGACAAAGTCAGTGTCTTCTTCCTGTTCAGCTCAGAAGACGATTGACTCACATGAACGCTATGCCCACCATACCCAATCCAACAACCACGATCTTCTTCCGTGGATGTTGATCGTTGATCTCGCCCTTCTTCTCTAAATCAGCTACCTTCTCAGGCAGCTTGTTGGCTTCCGCATCGTTCCATTCTGCATTGGAGATGTTTCCGTCCTTCGATCCCCATGTTGCTGTGATATGGCGGTCGCCGGGTGGTGAGTGTGATTCGCCGGATGAGGGCTCGATGCCTTGTGTGACGATTGGCTCCGTCTCGGCCATGGTGTAGTTTGGGGCCGCCGAAAGCCTTGGGTATCTAAATGCTACAATGAAAAAGGTTGTGTGTGAAGCAATTCGTCGTACTAGTACACTCAATCAAGAGGGCACAAGATGATACCTCAGTCAGTAAGCATACACTGTTTACTCCAAGAGGTGTAGGAAACAAGACTTGAGAGGAAAAGAATATGCAGAAGACAAGAGATAGCTCTAACGAGTAAGATCGATACCTAGTTGATAGACCTCAATACCTGCAAGCTACAACTCCGTGGCACGACATCTCCCGCAAGCTCACCCAACACGCTTCATCTCTCCCGCGCCAACCCTCGCGCCACAATGAGCATAGATAGCCCAACTACCGATCGAACCACTCATCTCCAATCACGCGTGCCCCGCGGTGTTTACGGAAATGCATCGTGACGCAGCGGGGTTCTATGGTCCCCCCATGCCCATGCACTGGGCCTGCAGAGCGCATCCTAGCTCCCGTTCCGCGGCATGCTGTCAGAAAGCGTGTAAAGTCGACAAGGGTACAAGAGCGCGTCCAGTCAAACAATTGACATTTCTCATTATCGTACAGAAATGCTGCAGGCACGAAGTTCTCCGTGGAGATTAGAAGAGTTCGCGTGATGTGGGCTCTATGTGGAGACGCGTCGAGTGGCTGGACGTTCCTTATCGCAAGCTAGGCGGCTTGGCGACAAGGGTCCCGGCTCGCTTCGTTATCAGGATTATCTTTCACGGAGATGCGTTTTGATGTTGCTAGGTTTCCGGCAGATGTCATTATACAGGTGGTGTTTCGTTTGACGGTGATATGAAGGGCAGGATCGAGATGGAGGAATGGAGTGCCATGTCATCGTTAACTAGTGCTCGTTTCTCGCAACAAGCTAGGACCTAGGACGCAATGTCGCTAGGTGCCATACTTGTGCCGCTCTACCATTAAGAATCTAGGAAGCTGATCACCCAGATATGCTGTATGGCTCGAGTTAAATTCGTTGCGCGTTATTCTATGAGCCATGGCCCTATGTACAATAAGGAAGTCGAAATAGGTGTATCCAGATGCTGTCCCCCAGCTCCAGACGTTATGAACGAAGATGCCGAAATCCTGAGTTGCCTTTAGAAATGAGCATATTAGAAGAACATCAACTCCTCGTCGCTCCAGCCCTGCTCATTTAACGCCTTGTGTGCAGCCTTCTCCAAAGCCTCCGGTCCACAAATAAGCACCAAGCTCTCACCCTCATCTTTCACGCAATGTTCTTGCAACAACGGCGCACCAATGCGCCCCCTCAATCCTTGCCAGTCCTCTGGCCCTTGTGTCAACGTATACAGCAACTTGCACCTCTCTGCATTATCCTTCGCAAAGTCATCCAGGTCCTCTCTGCACAAAATGTCCTCGACCAAGCGGTTGCCGTTGAGAACAGTGCAATGTGTGGTATCCTCTTTATCTTGCATGACAGCGCGCAAGACTTGGAAGATAGGCGTGATACCACTGCCACCACAAACCATGAAAAAGCGCTTCACTCTCCTCTCTTTACCATTGACAGCGCAGAGGCCACGACCAAGGTATTCAAACTTGCCGATCGGGCCTTTAAAATCGACCCAATGGCCCGTAGGAATAGAATCGAGTGCTTTCGTCATCTTGCCACCAGCACGGCCGGGAGTATCGGCGTAGACTTTGATCAAAACGTCGCAGAATCCCTTCTGTGTCGTTTGGCTGATGGGTGTGTAAGAGCGGATTATGGCCTCGCGGGTCACGGGGTCGCGGAGACGGATCATGAGATGTTGGCCGGTGGGAAGACCAAGGGCTTGGTCTTCGTGGTCGAGTTTGAAGCGGAAGATTCGTGTGTCCCAAGAGACCTTCTTCTTAGAGTACAGGAGTGTTTTGCGCCATGTGCGGGAGTCAAGGAAGCTAGGCCGCGGCTCGTTGGATTCTTGGACGTGTTCGCCTTCTGCTAGGACTTTACGAGATGCTTCGTCGAGAGTGCCGATGTGGTAGTCTGGCATCATGGCTTTGGCTGTCTCGCTATCTGCTTATTGTTAGCCGTCATCGTCGGACTCCATGTTGCTGCGAAACTCACGGATTGCCATAAACTCGTCAGTAGCATCTAGGCCTGCAGCGCTGATAATGCTCTGCGCACCACCTGGATGACCTTCCAAGAAAGCAGTACCGTCGTAGACTTCGCCGTTGACCACGAACCATGGGTTCTCGGCCCTGTCATGTTTCCGCAACTCATCGATCTCAATGATCTTGTCGACACTATCCTTTGTCATCTTGATCTCCTTTGCCTCCTCGATAGCAGCATGCTCCGGCTCTTCGCCGCCAATCTTCTCACCCCAGTATCCGTTTGTGAGATTTCCGCCAACCTTTTTGACGCGCTCCATCCAGCCACCAGGCATTAGTGCGGGTTGTGTGGGATGCTCGAAGCGGAGAGTATTGTCTTCTTTGTGTATGACAATTCGAAACCAAGGGTTGTTCATCATGCCCAGCACACTCCAGTACATATCCCTTGGCTGAACACACATCGCTTCGTCCATCACCCGCACCACAATGTCATCAGCCTCTTTTAGCTCGGCGGTGGCGATCTCTAGGTTCCAGAAACACCAGCAGAAGCTCGTCTCACGCCAATCCATGTCCAGTCTTCCACCGTAGAGTTGTCGGTCTTCAAATGCCCTGTACTTGTCTTCTGCGTAGTCGATCTTTGCGAGTCGCCATGTCTTTCCCTTATCCAGAGAAAGTTCGCAGCGTGTTACACGTCGTCCACCCCCACTATAGGCATAGCCGCGGACGTTGTACGATTCAGGACTCGAAGAGAGGGTTAGCTTCTCTTCATGTGCAGGGCATGCAATGGCTGAATTGGGCGACAGGTCATAGATGGCGTAGCGATCGTCCATCCACCATTTCGCATTCTTGGCTGCCTCGTCTGGGTCGACTGTCGTAGGGAGTACGCGGTTATCGTAGATGTGATACCAGTTATCGCTAGGCTCAGCCGTGATGATCAGCTTCTTCAGCCACTTCACACTTCGACCACCAATTTGACCCGGTATCACAGCTCTTAATGGCTTGCCATGATCAGGTTTTAGCATCTCGCCATTCATTTTATGCGCCAACATGATACCCCGATTTGGATCCATGACCCAGTTGAGCTTGACGGAAGTGCCATAGTATCCGTTAGGCTGTGCATAGTGTTAGACCTCGTATGTTGACCATCGACATGTGACTTACAAGTTTGTCAGCACCTTCCATGCACACGTATTTCGCTTTTCGCAATGGTTTCGCTCGCTCGATAATGTCTTTCATGACCACACCAGTAAATAGTGCTGTTGAAACACCTGCTGGGCCCCATGAGAAGCCCTTGCTCTTCCTCACTACATTCTGCTCTTTCCGCCTGTTACCAGCACAGACCAAAGTGACAGGATATGTGACGTTTTCGTATTCTTCCAGCAACTGTCGTAGAGTAATTTTGAGGGGATTTGCTACTAGACTATACGAGATTTAGATTCATGATGTCATTCTACACTTGGACGATAACATACCCTTCGACCGAGAACTCCCAATCCAGACACTCGGCGTCATGTACCTCCGGGACTGCACCATGGTTTCGCACATAGAACAGTTCTGGGCTGGTCAGGAAACCCTCATTGAATAGGTCTGTCAATGGTGCTTCGGTGTTGAAAGGGTGAACGCCCGTTAGCCGGATTAGTCTCGGATCTCGTGGCACATGCGCATCTGGTGTAGGCTTGTCGACATCCAGAACCTGCGGTGGGGTATTCGCTGGTGGTGGAAGCGGAAAATCTGGTTCTGACGTCGAAGTGGTGGACTTGCTGTCATCTCCGTCTACCGTCTCTGGCGGCGATGGCGGTAATTGTATCAACTTTGAAGCAGCATGTGGCTGTGGTTGGTGTTGATTTGCAGGAGGTATGGGTACTCCCGCCTTGTTCTGAGTCGCTACGCTCATGATGCTTGACTAAGAGATGCGGTACTGGAACTTGGGATGGATCCAGTGGATGGGTATGGTGCTTGCACTAAACGGGACGACTCTTCCAACCGAAAAGTTACGACAGGTTCATCAAATTGTGCTGGTGCTGCGAAAAGGGTATTGGTAAAGAAAGCAATAGACGACACGATGCTGAGACTCCAAATAGGTTTGAATCGGACAAAAGGCAGGAGTTGCAATCGGGGGTATCTGGAATTGCAGATACTAAGTCAAACCCAACGTGTTCTAAGAATGTAGTGGCACCCTTCAATCAGCTAGTGGGACCAGTCAACGTTGTAGTCAACGTCAGTCGCTAAATGGTAATACCGCGGAAACTCTACCTCGATCTGTGGGGAAATCCTCGAATCATGCATTCCATCATCATCCTAGCTCTCATCGAACGCCAGGCTCTGATCATCTCGAATTACTTTACACACTCGCATGCGACCTTATCTTTGACGTTCGTATTGGGGATAGCGCACGATATGTGTGGCAAGGGAGTAAGCGGGCCTTGATGCCACTAAGAGATGTTCCTGGCCGGACCGGGTAGGCTGGATTTGGTGTGGGGGCTCGGCTTTCCCATGTGGATCCGGCATCTTTCCAGCGGAGATGTCAACACATGAACAAATTATCTCTCTGTGGAGATGCTTGACCTACACAATCTTTGACACATCTTGAAATGCTGTAGTCGCCAACATCGTGCAAATTACTGGAACTTTGTAGTGCTTACGGGGCGAAGTTCTGTGAGACCAATCTCTCGTATAGACTGTGCATGCGACCATTGCGAACAGCCAGCCGAGGACAAAGTTGTGATCATCGTCCTTTCGTGCAACGCTAAAGGCCTCGGAGAAGCCTCGGTTGACCTTTTGTCGCATGCGAAACAGACGGGTCGAAGATAAGCATTTCCGGGGAGACTGGGTGGTGTACTAGATATCGGTGCTTGAGGCTGAATATCTCCGCGGTCCCAAGGGAGCTGCGCGCTTGCCGAGACTAGCCACTTGGCGCAGTCTGAGCCTCTAAATTATTCCCGCAACACCTCAGTCGTGTTTAGAGAAACATACTTTTGCCGGACATGTGCAAAGACCTAGCTGTTCACCCAACAAGCTTTTCCTCGAGCGTTTGGCCTTGCTCCAAAGGCCCAACTTTTACTTGTCCCTGGAGTCGTTGCTGTATCGTCTCTGCGCGAGCTTTCATGCGCTGTTCGGTCCTTTCCTTTACACTGGCTTTGGCATATCGACCCTTGACTCCATGTTTGAGACGCGTGATCATATCACCCGCTTTGCCCTTGCTGAGATCCTCTGGTTTCAATTGGTCTTCTCGCGGGCGGAATTTGTTGAGGAAGTCAACTTGAGCTTGTGATGCACGACCCCGACGCCATGGCTGATGCTTTGAGATGTAGAAGTGTTTAAAAGCTTCACTCGCGTACGTATCAGCTGCGTGGACAACGTGATCAAAAGAGTCTCCTTCTGCGATGACACGCGGTGTGCCATAGGGACTTTTGACGATCTTACTCATCGGGAGCTTCCAGTAATACCTCGCTCTAAAGTGACCTTCAATGTCGTCGGATGGCTCAATGACTAAGTAGTTGCCAGTGTTGCCAGTGAGGACGTACTTTCCATCGCCAACACCGACCCAAGCATTTTGGCTAATGTTACGTATGTATTGATCGGCGGAAGTGTCTGCTATTAGATCGTGTACAGAGTCATACTCGGTGAAGGAGATAGTGCCAGGTAACTTCTTCGCAACCGTTCTCTTCTTGAGGTCAGAAGCCTCCTGTTCACGTTGCTTTTCAGATTGCTTCATCTCTTTGAGCTTCGTCATGGCTCTGGTGTCTGCTTCGTCAATGATTTCACTTGGATCAAGGCCGAACAATGTAGGTGTTGACACTACTCCAGTGCTCAGTGCGGCGACCATGTCGATGATGTGGCAATTCTGCTTTCCCTCATGTAAACGCATACCACGTCCGATCATCTGGACAAGAAGATTTCGAGACTTTGTGGGGCGAGCTAGCAGCACGCAATCAATATTAGGAATATCCGTTCCTTCTGTAAAGACACCACAGTTTAGCAGCACCGGAAACTCGCCGTTCCTGAAAGCGTCGATGCGCGCGCTGCGGATCTTTGCTGGTGTGTCACCAGTGACAAATTGAGCATTAATCCCGGATGCCCGGAATCTAGCGGTAAGGTCGGTGACATGGCTAAGGTCAACACAGAAGATGAGAGTCGAGTGCCGGTCCCTTGCCTTGGCTAGCCATGTCTTTACAACGAGCTCGTTGGTTTCCTCGGTGTTGATTACCGTAGAGAGGGCGCCGGTCTGAAAGTCGCCACCGACGCCAGAGCCCACTTTGGTCAAGTCGGCCTTGATCTCGACAGTGGTAAAGACAACATCAGAAAGCCAATTTTCGTCAATCATGTCTACGTAGTCGCGGTGGTAGACGATGTGGTCGATGGCAGACCCAAGCTTCCTGCCGTCGAAGCGTGAGAAGGTAGCCGAGACGCCGACTAGGGCAGGAGCCTTTGTTTGAGTCCAGTCAGCTTGATGTCTCAATCCAAAGTGCTCCAAGACGTCGAGATATGTCTGGCTGACGATGTGGTGTGCCTCGTCTACCAGTACAAGCTTGTACCGTGAGGGGTCAAACTTATTCAACCGTTCCCCCGATGTGATGCTCTGTATGGAGGCGACGGTGATGTCGGCGGCACCCGAGGCCTGATTGTTGCCCATTTCGATGTCTACATGCTTATCGGGGTATGCGAGACTGCAATGGCGGGCGGCTTGCTCGACAAGTTCGCGGCGATGGGCGAGAATGAGCGTCTGAGAAGCGTCGCCATTGGCGGGTATGCGATCGATGAGGTGGGTGAATATGACGGTTTTGCCCGAGCCGGTTGCCAGAGAGACACCGAGACGTTTGTGTCCGGCATTGAGGTAGGAAAGGACAGCTTGTATGCAGTCTTCCTGATACTCGCGTAGTTGGATCTTGGGCGGCGGGGGAGGCGGCGGCGGCGGCGGTGGTGCTGGCGAGCTGGCAACCACGTTCCGGGGTCTCTTTGATCTTGTTGAAGCATGTCGGCTTGTTGCATGAACAGGCGTGTAGCCTACTCGCCTGCAGTGTCTCAACGCATGTTGGGCGAGAGGGAACATCAAGACGCGCTCCAGGGTTGCGTGGAAGCGAAGATATCGCGAAGTCACGATGCATGACGCAAGTCCAAGGCGGGCTGCTTCGTGTGGTAGGCCGAGGCCGAGCCCCACCCAAAATGTTTCCAGCCCGTCTTCATCCAGTCTTCACCTCTTCACCCTTCACCATGGCCGCTATATGCGCGCGCATGCATGACTCGAATCAGCACATATGCCACAGAGTTACAGAATACGCGTCTAACCCACCGTATCCGCCATGAGTTCCGCGTCCGACTACAAGCATTCCGAACCGTCAGAAGATTCTAGCCATGAAAGCTCGCAACCGCCTACAGTGTCTCACACACCGCAGAAGCGACGCCGCCTAGAGTCGATCGATCCTGCCCGTGTACGCAAATACTATCTCGAGGGAAAGTACAACGACGCCTACCGCGTGCTGTTCAACGAGGACGTGAACCGAGCGGCGGCGCGCTTCGAGACGCACTCCGAGAACTTCCAATACTACAACAGGCAGATTGGTGCATCAAACTGGTCGCCAAGGGAACAGGCCATCTTCTTTGGGGCTCTTGAGCGACTAGGAAAGGACGATATTGCCGGTATAGCAGGTGCTATCGGCACCAAGAGCATACCAGAGACGCAGGAGCTACTTTTACTGCTCTACGATGCTGCCACAAAGCAGGGCGATGCCAAGTTGACGCTTCGCCATGTCCCCGCGGCCATCGAAGTGAGCGACGAGTGCAACGAGCAGCTGCACGTTGCGGCCGAGGCTTTGGCCTGGTTCCAGGAGGTCTTCGAGGCAAATCAGGAGCGAGACAAGTTCGGCGACCACTGGCTAATCACGCCTGCGGTAGCCGACAAGATCGAGAGCGCACTCGACGTCCGCAATCTGCGAGCCACAACATCACCGCTTGCGAGCGAGTCAGAGCCAGAACCTTCACGAAGGGGTGGCAGAGTAATCATAGGGTACTTACAATCTACTGGCGATAAAGATGAGTGTGCTGACATGTGCCAGAGCATGTACTTCATGCAAAAAGTTCAAGCAAAAGTGCGATCGAGCAACACCATGCGCCAACTGCGTGCGACGAAATACGGGCGAATGTATCTACCCAGAGCAATCCATCAAACCCGAGACGGGCGATCAATTTGACAAGAGATCGAAAAAGCCCAAGCCCAAGGCTGGTATCCTCCAAGACATTCCCGAAGCCGGTCTACTACAGCCACAGGTTATGCTCACCCTCTCCAAGACACTGTTCATGAACCGCTCGCCTACAATACCCTCGCCCTGGCCACACTGGTCTGAATACACCTCTGAGTTTGCTCAAGAACCAAGCATCTATCGTAGCGCCTTCAACGATCTCCACACCCTGGTGGTCTCCGTCACCAAGCGGCTCGTACAGACGGCTATTATACAAGCAACTTCACGTCTTCGAGCACAAAGACAGCGAGTAAAAGGCGGTGTCCCCCTAATAAAGCGAAGAGACGCCTTGACTGCTATCGATGTTGTAGGCATGCCACGGAACAGTCAGGAGAGATGGCGAGGAGTAGCCAGACGATGTGCGTTGAGAGTGTACGAAGGCAAATGGTCGCGTTACCGACGTAATAAAACCAGACGAGAGGTGCCGTGGGACGAATTCGAGCGAATTATGGCCCCAGTTGAGCCATCAGCAGAGCTCTCGACCACAGACGCAGAGATGTCCGGTAATGACAATGCCGGTTTCAGTGCAAGAGCAAAGCGGAGCGGAACACCACTTCCTATGGATCAGCTTGGGCTATCGGATTCCGACGATGAATTACTCCTCGAAGATAGCGCACCTCCTTCCCGAAGCACATCCCAGCCCAGAAATACTGTAGATCAGCTTGCAAATTCACCACCGGCCACGGATTCTGAGAAGCATGGACCCCAAAAGTTGACATTGGCCGACTTTGATCGAGAGACAAGTCGAAAAGAGGAACAAAATCTCTGGAAAATGCTTGGTCTTGAGCCAGTCATCAAAGCTGAAGAAACGAACATCGATCGAGACAGCGACGAGGAAGATCTAGATGAAGACGAAAAGATTAGAACAGTGCCCGATGGTTGGCGCTCTTGGACAAGTTGTCGTGCCGAATGGGAGGAACTCAGCACACCTCCACCTGAATTTGCCTTTCTGGCAAACCAGAAACCTCTTGACGTCCCGCCTATTCTTCAAGGAGACACTTCAGACACCACCGAGTCTACCTCCGACAGTGACACTAATGCGCCGACGCGAAGGTCCAAGCCTCAGAGTAAGCCGTCAATCCGACGAACGATCGAATTGCATACCCGTGGCACTCACGCTTATGCTGCTCTGCAAGGACGAAGCTCAGAGCCTGTCAGGTCTACAAGCCGAACCAGCTCTCAGGACAATGACATCAGCGACGAAAATGCAGACGTCCGTAGACTACCTCGACCGCCCATCGAACTTATTAGGAAGGAATCACCAATTTCGGAACTAAACGATGATCCGAGCGACAGCAGCGAACAGCTGACGCAGTCGATTGGAATCAAGAGTACGCCAGTTCCCATCGCATCATCAAGCGATGAAGGAAGTGATATCGAGATGGAGCAGCCCATACAGTCGATTGAAACCCGCAATGATCCGTTGCATGCAGTGTTGTCTTACGACGAGCCGAAAGAAATGGATTGGGGGTCGTTCATCGACTAGTTCTTACCGTATTTAATCACATCCTAAATTCAAGTCCATCTTGTTTAAACGAGCGACATGCCTTGTGTAAGCTGGAGTTATTGAGATGTAGTATGCAATGTCGAGTTACATGACTTGACACCACGTACTGGACAGCAAACGTCCACTTCAGCCGTTTGTTGAGTCACTCACCCATATTCCTATTTTATCGTATGTTCCCATCCACTCGAATGCTCGCACGTCATACTCTTTAGTAAGTCCTCTTGTATGGTCAGTGACTGCCAATGCGCTAATGGAGCCAGCATGCACATTGGTGACACACCCAGTGAGCAGGCGGGTGAATTGTACATTACACCTAAGAACGGGTCAAGCTCGATGTCAAACCAGTACTAGGCGCCACCACTGTCACCGAAAGACCACGACCAGTCCCTTCACTACAGCTATGATGCCGGACGCACCAATGCTAGACAGAACAACACATTTCACTGCTCAAACATTGATGCATTTGGTCCACTTCTCCACGGTCCCAGACTTGCATAAGATTCCTCCTCTGACCTTTCTATTCTCTAACCATACCACAACTTGAACAGAGTCTCATCACCTTGACTTTGCTTTACCAACTTCCAACCCCACTAGTCCTCAGATTTCCAACATGAACTTCTTCACAACCATCCTGATGGTCCTAGCCGCCTTCGCTTCTCTCACGATGGCTAATTCTGGTCACAAGGAGCCAGGAAAAGACCCAAGTAAGGAGCCGAACTGTGGCGCTCCCTTTTGTAAGCGGGCTGAGGCTCTGGCTCGAGCCAAGGCTTCTGTCCTCGCTGAGCATGAGGCAAAGATGGCGGCTATTGTTATGCTTACTGCTACTTCCCATGTCGCGGGTTCTGAAGCAAGCAGTCTGGCTGACTAGTTGAGATGGATGACGGGTAAGTCATGGTTCTCGTGAGATGACCAAGTGTTTGGCTTACTGGCAACAGTTTGATGGTATCCATTACGATGTCGGCTTCGAGGGCAATGCCCTGGGCATGAGGATATTTGTGGAGCATCACGATCTCTCTTGGGGTTTGATTCGTCTTGGGCGGAGCCTCACTTAAGGCGATGTACTGGAATCAGCTTTGGTCGATGGTGATTTGACTTGACTGGCGGCTATACCGGCTCTTTCGGATGGAGTCTTCAATATGTGTATGGAGCTATAAGTAGCAATTTTACGGAACGATGAATGTCCAATAGCTCACATTTGACACCCTCGTCATGAAATATTTCTTACCACTTGGAATCCGAATACTGATAAATCTCCAGTTGTAAAGACGATAGGCTGACGCGGTGGTAAACAACGACTGGCTTAATCACGGCGATTCTTTGATCGATCTGCCGTCGTTCAGGAAAGGTCCCCTGCTCTGTGATGAGTCGGACTCGCGCATGTCCCATCTGAAAGACTGTCTGTTTTGATTGATGGGAAGCACAGTGAGTTTCATGTGCCGTTCCGAATATGTTCAACCTTAGTATCAATCCTATGCATACAACTCCACTCGTCCAAGTAGAGTTCCTGCACCAAATTGACACTACCAAACCACTTCTCACCCAGTCCAGCGCCTGGCAGATCTGGATTGAGCTTGAGTTCCTTAGTATTGCCAGTCGCTGCCCCATATTGTTCAAAATGCTTCAACGAGTCGATGGCCCATACCATTTGCTCGTCGTCGCTGTAATGCTCCTTCAGCCTTGCGCGTCTGATGTCCTTCCGTATCTCAGCTTCGGCGGTCGACCAGGGCGGTGGGTAATCGGAGGGCATGAGCTTGTCACCCTTCTTGAGCCGCGCATTGTTGGCTTGCATCTTCTTCGCCGTCTTGATATGCCACTCGTCTTTCAAGACACGGAGTCGTTCTCGTTCGCGGAAGAAGAGCTGTAGCATGCTCTTCCAGTCGAATTCGATCTCGCGGGCTGCAACGTCAATGCTGAGGCCTGGCAACTCGGTATCGTTCACCAAATTCCCAATGCTGATTGTGTAATTGGGCATCTCAGCCTTCCAGTTCTTCACATTCTCTTCCCATCGACGTGTGACTTTATGATAGTGCTCGCGATCTTTCTTTCCTTGCCCTTTCTCCGAGCCAATATCTGGTCGCTCATCTTTGAACCAAGCCACAGTCTTATCTTTGCCTTTGCCGCGTCGCGCGAGCCTTGTAGACACCTCGGGCCGCTTACTCTTCCCACCCAGGTTGTACTTTTCGAGTTGAAAGTCTATGTGTATTTCCTTGAGGAAGTGTTCGCCGAATGCATGCTCGACGCACGCGCGGAGTGTTGGAGAGACGCGTCGGACGACGTTCCAAAGGTGGGCAAGGTCGGTATGATAGCGGAAGACGTTGATCCACACCTCAGCCGGTAGAGATGGACAGCATGTTTCGCGTGCAGTAACACGGCGTGGAGCTTTCGAAGCCATTAGGACTTTGTCGCTAGGGGCCTTTGAGCTACATAATGCTTCAACCACTACCAGTCTTGTGCGAGCCGCGTTGAAGCCCAAGTTCGCGAGTAATGCCAATGACATAAGCTGACCTCACATGACTCTAGCATCGCCGAAGCTCCCTCCTTCCCCCAATGCTTCATGCATAGGCTTCGCTGACAGGGTATCAGGCTAATAATGCTGACGTCTGCAAAAGACAAGCTACATACGCCAAACATGCGATTAACTCAGCCTTGCACTCTAGACTTTGCATGCTAGTAAAGAAAGAAGCCTACTGCCCGTTGCTTGAAGTTTCCGTACTTACCACTTGACCAAACACCTTCCTACTCGACTACGGCCTGTACCAGCTACTTGTCACCGTCTTGTCCCCGAAACTGATCTTGCCTTGACACATGTCCGCATGTCTTTCGTACGGTTGTCCGGCCTGTATGTTATGTGCATTCTTTTCTTTCGTATTCCCACTCAAGCTTCGAACGACACAGCCACATATACAACCAAACATACAGGATGGCATAATGGCCCAGCGAAACGCACCACAACGATGATTCTTTGGAGCTGCTTGACAACCATCTCCGCCTGTACTTGGACCTTCCTTAGCCTTCCGGGAGCAAGACGAAAGGCTGTGCGAACACACATGGGCGTGCTTCTTGCTCAACACAGGATGAAGAGGCAATATGCGCAATTTTCACTACGGTGACCAAACGTATCTAGCAAATAGGTATTATGCCATCAGCCTAGTTGACTGTAAGGCTATAACCACAGGCACCTAACGCATCCGTCCATCCATCAACACACTCAACGAACGTTTTGGATGTCACTGACTTGGAGGCATTTCAACGTAAGGATATCGCATGTAAACGGGGAAATACTAGTATGTAGAATCTAACATTCTATCTTTGACATAGTATGAAAACACCAGCGCTTTTAGTTCCTTAAGCGCCGGTGAACGAACGTCCAATCTGTGTTCGTGTTGCCACATTCCCTTCTGTTTCCCATCCCAAAGTAATATAGAACAAAAGGCAGCCACTCAAGCCTGATTCATTACCACGAAAGCAAGACAACGAAAGCGACAAACGGGCTCAGCCCTTCCGAACGAACAAAAAAAAAACAAGAGTAGGGTAAAGACAAAATACATGAAGCGTAAAATAGATAGAATACAGCGAAGAAGAAATCGCGAAGACAACGAACATGAGAAAGGACAATCAAGAGCAACGACGATATAGCAGATTGGTATCGCGCGACAAGCAAGGAATTTTATCGGTCGGCATAACAGGGACGTAAGAAAAGGCGTGACGACGTGAACGACCATCCTGGCAGTTGTTAATCCTCCTCTTGAAAAACAATCCGAACGCCAGCGGGTATAGACAATATCGATAGTAGTAACATTTTTTAGATTGCCGAAGCACGTAACGCAGCTTCCGGTGGTGTAGGTGGCAACGGCATAGTGGGTGGAGGAGCTGGAAGACCCATGCTCGGTGGCGGTGGGGGAAGTGGCATATTAGGTGGAGGAGTGGGCGAAGTTATGTTGCGTGGTGGCGTAGGCAATGCCTTGTTTGGTGGTGGTGCGGGTGGTGGCAGTCCCATAGATGCTATACTACGTCTGGGTGTAATGGTCTTTTGTTGTGCGAACGCCTGCTGTCTCAGCGCTTCGATGCTGGGTGTTGGTCTATGCGCCGCACCGTCTGATGAGGGAACAGGTGCATTAGACATTCTTCGGCCGGGAACGAATGATGGCGTAGATGCAATGGCACGGATTGGGCGGGATGACAGGAATGGCGCGGGGTCAGCAGAACGGATCTGGACTGAAGCAGGACGGCGCAGAGCTTGTGATGCTTGAGCAGAATGTAGACCATGAAGGTTAGTGGTGGGCTGCATGTTCGAAGCTGCCGAGGGTGACCTTATGGGCGCAGTTACCGATCGGTTCATGTGGACACCCGGAGGCAAAGGCGAGGGTGTGGGCGATGGTGTAAGAGAAGACTGTCGCCTCGCTACGATTGTGGATGAATCGCCATGTTGTGCTTGTGGTCGTACTGGGAATGGCCGTAGAAAAGGCTTTGGTGAAGCAGAAGTTCGACGCCGAGTCTTGGAATCGCCAGCAGTAGAAGCGTACATGGGGGCTGGACCCATCATTGATTGACGTTGAGCAGGAGGCGGGGGTACTGGCGCAGGGTCTTTGGGCGGTGGAGAGATTGCGTCCCGTCGTGGTAGCGCACTGTATGCATGCGCATTGAACCGTACCGGACTATCTTCTCGAGTTGATAGAAGATCGTTGTCATCAGCCTGACCAGATACTTCGGTCTTCAATTGAGGAGGCGATGAGCGTACAGCATCAGTAACCTGCGCGGTAGCGGGCGGAGCAACGGCTTTGTTTGGTGCTGTTTCCTTCTTTAGTGGTGCCGCTGGACCTGCAACGAAAGGCTGGCCTAATTCTGGGACAGTTGGGGAGACCGGGTTGTACAGGGAGTGTCGTTTACTCGTAGGGGGTGTTGTCACAGTCTGGCTCAAGTCCTCATTTGTGATTGGCAAAGGCTGCATTGACCTGCGGCGAGATGACATGGTGTTGTTG